ATAAGTTGGTTTTAGCTGACAAAGGAGATATCAAGATTGGATGGACCTTAACCTAATCTAATCCCACAACCAATTGATTGTCTGTCCTACTCCTAACCTTGTCCTGCTCCTATCCATGTCCTGCTCCTAACCTAGTCCTGCTTCTAACCTTTTCCTGCTTCTAAACTAGTCCTGCTTCTAAACTAGTCCTGCTCCTAACCTAGTCCTACTCTTAACCCGGTCTTAATCCTAACCTAGTCCTACTAATATCCTAATCCCAATCCTAACCTTCTTCTCACACTAACCTAGTCCTACTACTGACCTATCCCTAACCTTACTAGTCCCACCGATAAGATCCAATGATCCTCAAACATCTAAACCAACTCCTCCATAAACATCAACCGTCAAATGTTAATGACCCCGCTAGTCGTCCTCAAAATGTCACTCAATGAATTTTTGATGATGAAAAATCGATTTATGGAAATTTTTTTATTATTTTTTATTGTCATATGCTGTCGACTGTGATGTTATGTGTGTATATAAAAAAAAAGCTAGAGGAAGGAAATGTTCGCATTGAATTTGAATGACATGCTCGATTGTTGCTGTTGCTACTGTACGACATAATGAAATGAATGTTGATTAATAAAAATGAAAACAAGAGCTATGAAAATTTATTATTGCATCGTGTGTGGGAGCTTTTTATGGCTATTCGTGGCTGGAAAACAGGATGGGTAATGACAGATGAAGACACAAAAAAATTTATTTTATGCTGTTTTGTGTGCTTTTTATGCGAAAATTGAGAAAGGAATTCTTTTTATGGAAATTTTTTTGTCATAGATTTTCTCATATTTGAATGACATAAATGAAATGGAACGGAAATAGCTTTGGTGAATTTTTGATGTAGGATGTTTGAGGGTTTTTGGATAGATATGTGAAAGAAAGGGTTTATGTTAAATTATTTTTACTGATATTTTTGGAAATTTTTGGGTGGTTTCATGACTTGATTTTTGGAACTTTAGCAAATTTTGATGGTTATTGTAGAAGTTTGGTTTTTGGTATTATTCGGGGGAAGACTTTAAAGTGTTCCTAAAATGGCGCACAGTATGTATTTTTTGAAAATGTTCAGTCAGAGGCTGCACAATTCATGAACAAGGGTTCTTATTTTGAAATATTCAGTGGAAGACTTTACAGTCTTCACAAAATATGGCGCATAAAATCAAAAATATCTCTAAATTCCTCCAAGATATGAGCAAACTTCGCCGTTAAGATAAATACCCAAACCGGATATTCACTCGGTCAATTATAATATGCTCAAAATCTCATTGCAACATCTTTTTTCCCTTCTCGTTCTCAAACATAGCCTCGAGGGATCATTCTGAACATTTCTTTCTTCATCTTACTCATTTTTTTCCATTCACTTCTCATTCCAAATGAGATTTTTTATCCTCATCTCATATTTCTACCATTTCTCTTTGTAATGCTAATGATTGATGTATTTTTAATGTATAATGTATGGCACACTATTATGAAGCTTGTATATGTTATCCTGTTTATGTATATAAATAAAAAAATTGGGCTTGGTATCGGCATTTTGTGCCTTTAAGATGTTACTTAATTGAGTGTAAAAGATGCAAACGAAAGTAAATGAGATTTTATTATTCTTTTAGTAAAAAAAAGGCTGATGTTGCCACGGACCTTTTGTTTGTTGATGCTGATACGTGATTTTGCATCTTGATGAATCATTTCAAGTGAAATTTATTGAATTTTGAATGGATGAGTGGAGTTTTTTAAGAATGTTTTGAGGCAAGGTTTGATTTTTTGATCAAATTATGGCTTTTGTGTGTGCAATCATCGAAATTATTATTAAAGTTTCATTAGACCCCAAAATTTTAGCTTTTTAGCTACATTTGAAGCTTAGAATCTAAATCACTAGATTCAAATAATTCTTTGGTTTAATGCTTGCCACATTTTTCTACACAGCAGTCAAGAAACAACTTAAAAAAATCAAATCATCTCAACATTATCGCAAAATTACTTTTCGAGGTGGAGAAAATTTGATTTTTTATTCTTGTGAAGTATGTAATTTAGAACAAAAATTATAAAAACAATTTTAAATGATTTTTTTTATATTTTCAACTTAATGGTATGTTTTGTGTACTAAAATTAGTTGAGTAAAATAAAAATCAGCTCAACAATTCACGAATTTTCATCTCGTCGCAATCCACAACACTCATTTTCCGTTAATGTCTTCCGTACATTAACACAATTTTATTTTATTCATTCACATTAAGAACATTTCTTGCCACAATCAATTTTCCATAAATCAACTTTTTTGTTCCTTCTTTTTTCCTCTCAGTTATTCACAATTCACTAAGGCACCGAGCCGAGTTTTTTTTTTTACAATATCGAAAAAAAAAATAATATTACGTGAAAAAATGTTTTGAATGTCACGGAATGCCATTAAGCTTCATTCTTGACTTTATCAGTCGATTGACTTCTTCTTACTTTCCACATTGTTATCGTAAAAATTGAATGAAAAAAAAAGTGAGACAAGAACGAGAATCTTTTGAGATTCAGATATGCTTGTAACTTGAGAATGGAGAAGTCTGCATTGATTGCCATCATTAGTGAGAATCTTGAGTTCTTCAAATGCGAATGTTGAGATGACTGTCGAACGATTGAAAGATAGTGTATTGGATGGGAGGCTGATGGGAATAGGAAATGGAAGCTTTTATGGCTCTAGAAAGGTTTTTTTTAAATTTTGTGGAATATAAATAAAAAAATCGGCTCATGGTCATCTGGCAGAAAGTAATTCCTAGGAATTCCTGTTACTTTACGTAAGATTTTACAAGGAAAACGTAGGAATTTCCTATAGGAATTCCTAGGAATTCCTAGGAATTACTTTCTGCCAGATGTCCAACACCCAAAAAAATCTTCTCTGAAGTAATAATTAAGTAAGTTGAAGTAGCTTTTGCTAAACTCTTTTATTTCTGTCTGTTCTAACGATTCAGAATGGACAGAAGACGATGAAAACAATCATGAAAGGCAATCCAATACATCGAAACACGACAAGTCACTAGAATATATTAAGCACCGAGAAAACTTTAAAAAACATCAACAAAAAATGCGTCGTAGAAGCTTCAATAACAAACCGTAAAAGTTCCATTTCTAAAGATTCAAAAATTCTTGGTAAAATATCTCGAATGTCGTCAGATGATTGGGATAAATTTAGGAGTTGTCGGTCACTGCTCGCTACCTTTAAACAGCACTTGACAGACTCCAATAAAGACATGCACAAGGAACTTTATTGAAACTCATTTTACTGAATATAATAGAATGTCTGACTATCAAGCACCGCCACCTTATCGAAAACTACCAAATGATGTCGATAATGAATATTGGAACTTTGATTTTAAAGATATTAAAAAGCCAGTTCCACTCCTTGTGATTATTTGGCTAGTCATTTGTCTTGCTGCAACTTTTCATAATTTTTAATGTAGATTTTTTTTGACTGTAAAGGATCCAAATTCACAAGATTCAGTATTACATACATCAAAGCGTCGATCATAATTTTTGTAACTTACATTTTTTCGACTGAGTTATTCTTAAAAATATTCGTGGCTCATTGAAGCAAATCTCATCATTATTTGTTACTTTTGTAGCGATTCTTGAGCATCTTGTAAGTTATAGATTCAATAGGATTCACACCGCACTAAGACAACTTTATACTATCTATTATCAACAGGAACTCGCATCCTGAAGTTTGAAAACCTTTGTTGCGTTCTTCAAAGATTTCAAGCTTATACTGAACTGTTAAATGTCTATATTTTGCTTTCAAAGCAAGCTGCTTATCAAATTCTATGGTTCGCATTGCACAACCTAGTCTACAGAGTGTTACGTAGCTGACAATCGACCCCAAAGCATTTATTGGCTCAAATTTTTTGCTGGTATTTTTTGTATGTGAGAGAGAAAATAAAACAGATTTCAGGTTTTTGCAACAGATTTTTGTTGTTATATGGAATATCATTTGAATATTAATAAAAAAAAAATTACAAAAGTCCTCGTGTTATTGATCGAGGGACTTCAGCGCATTTTTGACGCAGCGATCAGTATTTGATATTTAACCAGGGGGGGACAGAGCAAAAATTGCTATAAAAAAAAAACCCAAAAATGTTTACTCTGATGAAATTTCCCCCCCCCCCCCCCCCTACTGCATTTACCCAAATAAATTAATTTTCACAACAAAAAACTCTTGAATTCAAAATTGAATATTTCACTAAACCATGTTCTTGAATTCAAATGAAATTTTCATTTAACGGTTTTTTGAGATTCAAATATTTAACGGTAGAAATGAATTTAAATCTCTGAACATAATAATAATAATAATGTGAGAGGGTTCCAGCTGAGCGATGTGTTGCTACACGTTGCGACGAGCCGGAGGCACTGCGATCCTGATCGATGATAGAATCTATTGTACCGTTCCCTGTATAATCTCTGAACATACCATGAACAACTTTTAAAGCGGTAGAAAAAAGTTCAAATTTTTAAACGTACTCATCACGTGGTTTTGTTTATGAAATAAAAAAATCATTAATTATAGTATTTATCCATTGTTTTACGGATCGAAAATAATCTTAAAGCCAATAAAACAATGAACCAGAGCTAATAAAACAAACCAGAACTCTCTACGATGTCTAGTTAAAAAGTTTTTCTCCGCCCGAACGAACTGACAAAATGAGATATTAAGCTCCTTTTTAGAAACAAGTTTCAAAAATGCGCTAAAAAAATTAAAACAGGGAGAACACAGGTATGTATGAAGGCACTTAAGGACAAATCTCAGTATTCATGTCGCTTCAATGGCTTGATAAAAATGTATTGCTAGCTAGAAAAATTGATAACAATTAAAATTTATTAATTGATTCAGATCTTAGAAGATACAGCATAAGATTCATTTCTGGTAACATGCAAAATACTTTTCATTAAGCTTGTGATATTCGCAGTAGATGTTTTTTTTTTTGGGTCTTTGTTGATATTTGTGAGATGAAATAAAAAGCACAAGCTGTTAATATCTTGAGTTAGTTGTCAAGTGATCGAGGAGATATCAATACCTAAATTGAGAGAAATATCAAGGATTAAACAGAGTGATTTTTTTTATTAAGTAGAAATTTTTAAGAATTTTTAAATTCGTTGATCAAAATGGCAACGAAAGTGGAACAAACGACAAATGAAGTGCTACATTTTATCGGAAATTTCAATTCAAAAGAAAAGAATCGATTAAATACAGAGTTCAAAAGGAAGCTCTTACGTCGACAAAGCACGGTCCGAGACTTAAAATGGAATGTTCAGTGCAGTGATTTTGCCTTAAAAACACACAATCCAATTCGAGCAATTGTTGATGGAATGAAAATCGCACCAAATCCTGACAAGCGAATGATAGCTTTATCCATAGGTCAGTTCCACACAGTTCTAGAAATTTCATTATAAGAGTGTAAAATTACAAAATTGTTACTGCCACGCGCGGCATAAAAAATATCGCATATTTTTGCCTTTTCTTTTAATTGTGCCTGATTTTGTTAATTTCGGTAGTGATTAAATTAAAAAAAAACCGTTAAAAAGTTCAATTCAATTCAGTTCATTTGAATTTTTGAAAGCCGCTAGATTTTAAATTTTTGAAAGTCGTTAAAAATGTTTAACAACGTTATTGGCTCAAAGTTCTAGAATCACTAAAATGCGCTAATAAAATTAAATGTGAGAACTCTTGAACATTTTTAAAAATGCTAATGAATTTAAATATTAGAAAAACGACTTAATTTACATATCGATGAAAATATTGAAATATCTCACTTGGAGATAGATCGAGGCATAAGTGGCAGTGAAGCTAATGAAAAAAAATTTATTATTATTATTTATTTGTCGACGTTACCGTCCGGAAGAATTAGTATTTATACATGTTTTACTTTCTACATTGATTAGTGATACATTTCATATCACTATGGGTGACGTAGAATCAAGCTTCTAATCTTCAAATCTAGGTTTCAAATAAACTAAGGCTCTCGTTTCAATCTTCTGTTGGCGTGACGTGATACATTTCAGGTCCGTTCTGACAATATTCCATTATAAGGTAATCCTGTAGCTCTCGTTCCTATTTCTCCCGCTACACTTCAAGTTCCTGATCCGTTCCTTAATCCAACGTTGCCCAAAATGCCCAATTATGGCTTGATCTCGTACATTAAGCAGTCGAAGTATCTAAACTTCTGAAAAAGAACAAATTTGGAAATGGCTGGATTCGAACAGACGACCTTCGAGTTACCATACCAAATTTGAGCCAAGCGCCTTACCTATTCGACCAGCAAGGCACTTAACTGCTTTTATAATACACAGTCGTTCATATCATCATAAAAAAAAAATGTAAAGAATATAATCTACAGTAAACAACTTATTAATTAATGTGAATCGAGCCTCCGATGTTTGTTGGTGAAATTCCTAGATGTTTACTGTTAGTCAGTCAGTCAGTAGCTAAGAAAAAACAAGGAAATTACAGAACTACGCTGTAAAAAAATAAAAACTTTTTATTTTCCATGAAAGTTCGCATGACCTTGAATAATCCCAAAAGATGTTATCCTGAAAATTATTGTGGAAAATCAGGTTTTATGTGCGCGTCTTTAAAAAATCTTCTAGAATCTTGGCAAGAACCTCAACATTTTATAAAATATTCAGAATTGTTTTCATATTTATGTCAATAATTAACAAACCAGATTTTATTCTCTTCATCTCTTCTGTTGATGATAACATACAGCATGTGACGTTTCAAGTCTCAGACTTGATTGGAGGTGTGCGTTCTTAAATTATTCAAAAATGACGACACCGATATCAAGTTGCATATCAAAACGTGTTTTATAAATCCAGTCTTTTATATGCTTTCTTTTTATATCCAATTGTATAATGTCAGGTGATCCTACAACATTTGGAAACCTTCAACCAGCTAATGAAATTCTTAATGCAATGAAGCAAGTGATTGATGAGAAAAACTTTAATGGATATGCTCCATCTGTAGGATTTATTGAAGCACGTGAAGCCGTTGCTGAGTATTCAGGTTGAATATTAAAACTTTAACAAGCTTAACATTATCTAATTAATATTATTTTACAGCACATCAAGGCAAAATTAAGGAAATTTCAGGAAAAGATGTAATATTGTGCTCTGGATGCAGTTGTTCATTAGATTTATGCATTGCAGCGATTGCAAATGAAGGACAAAACATTTTGATTCCAAAGCCTGGATTTTCAATTTATAAGACACTTGCTGAAGGCTTTGGAATCGAATGTAGATCATACAATTTAATTCCTGAACGAGGATGGGAAATTGATTTAGATCATTTGGAAGAATTAGTCGATGAGAATACAGCTGCCATAATTGTTACAAATCCGTCAAATCCATGCGGTTCTGTATTTACAGAAAGTCACACACTCGATATTATAGAAATTGCTGAACGACATTTTTTGCCAATAATTGCTGACGAGATTTATGAACATTTTGTGTTTCCAGGCAATGAGTATCATTCATTTGCCTCATTATCAAAGAATGTTCCAGTTTTAAGTTGTGGTGGATTAACAAAAAGATTTTTAGTACCAGGATGGCGTTTGGGATGGATTATTGTACATGACAGACATGGTAATAAATTATATTATTTTTTGAAATTTTGCATTTATTAATTGAATTTATTTAGGAGCTTTACAAGACATTCGTAAAGGATTGATGAATTTATCAGCTCGTATTCTCGGACCAAACTCATTAGTACAGGGAGCACTTCCTGCTATTTTAAAAAATACACCACAAAAGTTTTATGATGAACTCGTTGAAACACTCCAAAATCATGCAAATATTGCATACCAATTGCTGAAGGAAGTTAGAGGATTAAGTCCAATAATGCCAAAAGGTGCAATGTACATGATGGTTGAAATTGATATGATAAATTTCCCAGATATAAATGATGAATTGGATTTTGTACAGAAACTTGTTTGTGAACAAAGTGTGTTTTGTTTGCCTGGAAAGTGCTTTGGCATTGATAATTTTATGAGGATCGTTTTGACAGTTCCAAAAGAAATGATTATTGAGGCATGTGAGAGAATTAATGAATTTTGCGAGACTCATTATAAACCTGTCAAGAATGGATTTGAAATAGAGGATATTCCGATAGATTACATAGATATTAATGGGGATTGATGAAGCGGAGATCGAAGTCGCTTAGACGTAAGCCGTTTTGTAAGCTTCGGCTTAGCCGATCATTTTCTAATGATTCAAATAGTGTAAATAATTCATATTTTATTAAATATATTAATAAAGAAGAAAAAGAATTTCACTTTTTATTTGGTTTGTGAAGTATATAATTTCATACAAATTACTTAAAAAACATTTTTTACTAAAATATTTATGAAAAATCGCTTTTTCACATCCCAACTAAGAAAAACGAGGCGAAAAATGGCTATCCCGAATGGTTTTTCATCCTAATTAAGGAAATTGAGATAAAAAATAGCTTTTTCGAGGTATTTTTCATACAAACCGAGCTCATTTGAAAATTTCATCATTTTCATCATTTCATATAAAAAAATTCATCATTTTTCATCTTTCTTCATCTTTTTTTCTTCTTTATATTTGATACATTTAAAAAATGTGCATTAAATATTGAACAACCTGCATTTAAATCCGCCATTTTGAAAAATAAATTCATCCACTTCGAAAATTATTTTTGATATATTTCTGAACTCAGCAAAGCTTTTGCTGAAATTTTTAGACTTTTTGGCAGAAAAAAGTGGCAAGCACTGAATAAAAAAAATAAAAATAATCACTCGTTCAAAATTTTTGAGGTTATGTTGAATCACAACCCTAAAATTGAGTCTATGGGTCGAAAAATAAAGAATTTTCTCATATTAATCTAACATTTTAAACAAAATATGGCAGAAATCGACAGATACAGCACTTGAGTAGCTTCACAGCTAAATTGAAATTTTATTGAATTCGACAGCTACAGAAAACAATCAATCCTCGATAAATTGAAGAAAATACTCTCATAAATTCTATTTAAGGAACAAAATTCATCACTAGAGTTTATTTTCAAGTAGCATCTCATCACTTTACATCAATTCAAACCCTTTTAAATCTCAATAAATCTCACAACAATAAAACAAAAAAATTTCCTACCTTTACATTTTCATTTTCTAGTCTACATCATCACAAGAGACTTAAAAACAAAAAAAAAATCACAAATGATCTCTATTCTGCATTAAATTACAAACAGAATGAAAGTTGACTTCAAGTATCCAATTTTCTCTTTTCTTTCTTTATTTTTATTTTCCATGCCATCATCATGTCTCATCGCAATATATTTATATTATTCATGAGGGGAGCAGTAGAAGTGGAAATTGTCAAGTGTAAAAGGATATGAAATGAGAGGAACTAAGGCACTTGCTTGTAAAATGTAGGACGATAAGACACGTGTGTTAATGTGGTTGTGACTAGTAATGACGCAAACAAAGGATGTTTTTTTCATTTGATTTTTAAATCTGGAAGTAAATTGTTTATTTATCTAGAGCGGAAAAATTGAAAGAAAAAGTTTTTATGTCCTGTTTTGGTCGACTAAGGATGATTGTATTTGTCTCTAAATTCGAAAGTCTGTCTGTGTTTCTTGCTATCTGTGTGTCTGTATGTCTGTATGTCTGTATGTCTGTATGTTACCTGTTTGTCGATACATTTAATCAATCTTGTTTGTATAGTCCATGTTTTTCCAACGCTGTCCGTTCATCTGGCTATAAATCAGTCATTTACGACTAATTCTAACGTGCAAAACAATGCGTACCCATCATAAAAATAGTCCAAATTACTGATTCCATAGAATTTAATCAATTTTTAATCAGTCACATTTTTCCACTGATTCGGGTTTGTTCCATAGAATATTATCGCATATCTTATCACATAGGCACTCTTAGTTGAAGTTTGGAATTGTAAAATCGTGTTTTAAATTATCTCTACCGGTAAATTATGATTACTGATAAAATATCTGGATTTTGAGGTTAATTAGGAAGATTTTTGTGTTATCTTCGACTGCTTTAGACTTGTTGGATATTGAAATTAGGTTAAAAGCTGCAAAATTGAGCTTCAACTTCGAAGAAGACCCTCAAAAAATATTCAATTTCCTTAATGTCTCATCTGCTTCAAAAGGAACCCTCAAGTTGCCCTCAAGATCAACATTAACAATTACTATGATATCTATATTAAATTGGGTATCGAGACACAAGACAGTTCACTAATTGTTAATGTCCATCTGCTTTCAAAAAAAGGGCGAAATTTTAATTAAAAGATTGAAGGGAAAAAAAAGGTTGAAATCGTAACAAAAGGAACCAAAATGAGACAGACTGTCGGTATTTACTCAGAACAAAAACGGCAACAGAGACCACTTTAGCAAATAATTGAAGAATGGAGCATGAACTGCTTCATGAATGAGTCGTAAAATGTTTTGTATGAAGACTTTATGAGTAGTTATGGTCATGTCGATGTGAATTTATGAGGATGTGAATTGTGTAACGTCAGTTAAACCAAGTCCTTCATGCACATTAATTTACAGTCCACAGATACTAAATTCATGGCTGAGCACCCTTATCCTCCGAATATTCATCTTCAAACCTTCAAATCTCACTCCATATAGCAATTTACACTGCCAACCCCCAACCCAATCATCCTATACCCACTAGCTTAACGTCTGACAATAAAAACAACAGCATTTTATGGATTACCCCTTAATAATCCAACGCATTTAATTCCGCTCGAACGATCTCAAACCATTTACTCATTTTATGAACTGTAAAGGTAAATAATTTATATAGTTTGTATGACAAAATGACCTGTACATGTGTCTACATGCCATTTAACTTTTTTTATGACAGCCTTTATTTGGCTTTTTACTTGTGAATTTTTTTTTTTGGGGGGGGGGGGGTGTTAATTCTGACTATCGCACATCTTCATGCTTTATTCATTTATTTTATTTTCACAATTCACGAAAATGTACAATAAGCAAGAACAAATTGGGGGGGGGGGGGGTCAGTTGAGGGTGGTCATGATGGTTGTGGTGAATATAGGTCTTTGAAATTTGATGGTTTTTGTCTCAAACTGAGTGTTACAGTACTTAGTGTGCCGTGAACATAATCCAGATGTGCCGAAAAAAACTTTAGTTGAAAAATGTGCCGTAGAGTAATAAAGTTTGAGAAACACTGGATTAGGTTAACATTTTGAGGTTATATGACAAAAACTACAAATGTTTGAGGTTAATTTATAAAAATTTCAAAAACTTGAACGTTAAAAGACAGAATTCGCAAAAATTTGAGGTTATGTGAAAAAAAAATTTTTTGAGGTTATGTGAAAAAAATTTTTTTTGAGGTTATGTTTCTGATTTGCCTCAAGTTTTCATTTCCATCTCCCAATTATTTAACAATTTTACCATCTTTTGAATCACATAATCAACATTAATTACCAAAACATCCAGAAAATCACAAAACAACTTCACTAAATTCTCAAATTTCCACAATATTTAAAGAAAATCATCTCTCAAGTTACATAATTAATTAATTAGTAGGAAAATTCGAGAGTTATGGAAAAGCTCAGCATAATTAATGAAGAATTTTAAAATTTGCATATTTAAATGATGGCAAAATTGAAAATTAAATTAACATAGAACTGCACTTTATGAGATTAGTGAGTGTTTAATTCTCTGTTGGGATTTTTCTCAAGCACCTTCAAGTTATTTGCGGTTTTAATGGAACTTCAAACAACTTTTCAAGTGTACAATTTATGCTGATTTTCATGAATTTTAATGAAGTTCAATTTATGTCAATTGGAATGTTTGTCATTATCGAAGTATTAATTGCAATTCCATTTGAAATACTCTGAATCATCAATCAATTAATATGGATGTTTGTTGGCTCATTATTGTACATTGTTTGTGGAAGGAGGGGGGGGGGAGTTGGTGGTAATTAGTTTTGGAATATTATAGAAGAAATTGTGTGTAAATGACTAGTTATTACTTGAGATACTATTGAAGAATTTATTGGAGGATTGTGAATGAAAATTGTGGCACGACAAGTAAGAATGTTAATATTGTGTACATAAGGCGCATTTTAATGACATAACCCTAAAAAGTACTACAGTTTTTAACACCTAACCTCAAAGTTTTACTTAATTTTTCACAAAAAAAAACACAAATCTCCAGTTTTCAAAATCCACAGCCAGGCAACATCTAGAAAGATTTTCGAGACCCATTTTATCAACTAAACAGATCCACTTGAAGGTATTGATTTTCATGGTATAACAAGTCAATATTGCTAAAATAGATAATTAATGTGATGTAATTAGAAAAAATATTTATTTCAGGATTGTAACGATAATTAGCTATTAACAAACTTATATCCTTTATGTTGATTTGGTCTATGCTTAACTGAATAAAATATGATACTCCTTGGTTACTTTGAACAGATTAAAGTTGCTTTTTGTGAAAATTAATTCAGCATAGTTGGAAATTGTGAAAAATTTTGAGGTTATGTTACTAAAATTTTGTAGGTTTTGAGGTTAAGTGACTAAAATTTTAGAGATTTTGAGGTTATGTGATAAAAATTCTGTAAATTTTGAGGTTATCTGTTAAATAATTCTAAAAGTTTTGAGGTTATACGTTAAAAATTCTATAAATTTTGATGTTATGTGACAAAAATTCTGAAAACTTTGAGGTTGTAAGTTAAAAAATTCTAAAAGTTTTGAGGTTATGTGTCAAAATACGCATACATTTATCAAACTATAATCTCAATTCCCACCACAAACCAACTCCAATCCCACAAAAATGAACAATAAACTCCAATTAAAATCACAAACAATATTCACAATTTAATAATAAAAATCAATAAAGCACAAAATAGTGCCCACAAGCTAAAAAGAGGCTACAATGACTGCATTATCAATCACAAATTTGTTATAACAGTTATAATTTACATAAATTGATGGATAACTCAATTCTGATAAATCGATCGATAATTCAATGAATGGCTGTGTTGAGTAACAACAATCGAGAACATTTAATGAGTTTTTGCTCGAGATAATGATACAGAAATTTTATACATCCAATGTCCAATTAAAATTACGTCGGCAAAATTGGAAAAATTTCCTTTAATCACGATGCCTTTGTTCTGTTTTAGACTAGAAAATTGTTTATCGGAAAAGGAGATTAATGAATGGAATACAAAAGAAGATATTAGACTTCGTATAAGAATAAGGTAAGGCTATGTTAATTTGAGGAAATGTTGCCAATTTTCAGCTGTGCTGCCTGATTTTTGACTTATTTCATAT